CGAAGGTTCGGCCGGCTCTCAACCCCTGGGCGCCTCTGCCAGCGATTTCACTTGATGAGCTTGACGCGGTGCTCGCCAGCTACAGCGCCTCCGCTGGGCTGGGCTGGGATCGCTTTCACCCTCGTCAGATGCTGTGGCCCCCTGTTAGCTATAGGCAAGCCTTTCTGGACATCCTCTTGTCTTGGGAGGCTCGGCCCGATATCGTGACGCTCTGGACCCTGTCAGTGTTCTTCCTGGGCAAACCCTGCCCCCCAGGAGGTGTTCGCCCGATCATCCTCCATTCGCTGTGGTGCCGCGTGTGGTCTCGGCTGCGGCAGCCTGTCGCGAGACGTTGGGAGCGGAGTTTGGGTAACGGGGCCTTCTGGGGGGATGCGGGTCTCAGCTGTGACAGAGCAGGGCATGTGCACAACATTTTAAGTAAGTTCGCGAAGTTAAAAGGCTTCGCGTCCGCGTCGGGATTGTTGGACCTCAGCAAGTATTACGAATATATATATATATATATATATATATATATATATATATCATGCTGAGTTGCTAGCTGAAGCAGTGCAGACAGGGTTCCCGCTCAAGCTCCTCCAGTGTTTGTGCGTGTCGTACCGCTTGCCTCCCAGAGCCCTGTGGCAGCAGGCGGTCAGCGAAGAGATTCTGGCCAATGGCACTGTTGCGGCTGGCTGCAGCGGAGCTTTAGCTTTAGCTCAGTTGTTAGTGCACACCCTGGTGGTCAAACTCCAGGCTCAGTACCCGGCTGTGCGTTTCCAGAATTTGGTTGATGATTTCCTGTTGCAGGCTGTAGGGTCTTTCATCCAGGTGGTCAATCAGTTCCCAGACGCGCTCATGTCCCTGGTTAGGGGTTTGGAGCAGAAACAGTTGCGCGTCAACTGGGACAAAACGGGTTATATGGCCAGTTCGTCCGTGCTCTCGTCCAGCCTGAACGAGCGTTGGTCTCTGTCTGAGGCTGACAGGGTGACTGGAGCTCGGTGTCTTGGGGCGGACGCCAACGACGGCGCCTCCAGGAGAGTTGGCGAGCAGAACAAACGATTTGAGAAGGCCCAGCGCGTGATTGCCAAAGTGCATCAATTGCGCGACGCGGGCGCTCAGGTTAGCACGATAATGAGGGGGTCTCCGACGGCGACGGCGGTGTGGGGGTCGGCGGTGACGGGGATCGCTGATCAGAAGCTTCATTCTTTGCGCGTCGCCGCGCTCAGAGCGGAAGGCCGCTTGCCCTTCGGCACGTCAGTTGGCTTGCGCCTCAGAGCGACGCCGCGCGGGGCCTTCCGAGATCCTTGGGTCGTCCACGCCGTCGAAGTCGCGAAGCACTGGGCTCTGGCGGCCGTCTCGGACCTCCCCGGGAGAGGGCCTTTGAGAGCCGTCTGGGGCGAGGGCGTTGAGCTCCTCTCTCGAGCGCGGCCCTAGGCCCAGTGCGTGGACCCCGCGCAAGCGACTCTGCTGGCCATGGCACGTGTCGGGGTTACTATGCCATCGGCGTTTGAAATTCGGATTTTTGGCACGGTGTTTTCGGCGCTTGACCGCAGCGCCGGCTTCATCTGTGAGCAAATTCGTGAGTCTGCTCTTGCAGCCTCTGATATGTGCGCTCAGGCGCATACCAGGCGCCTGGGTCAGCCAGTTGCACTGGGGACCGGTCGCGTTGATGCTCGGCAAAGCGACTAGTGAGACTTGGAATCAGCACCACAAGGCCGTCGTTCGCAGCCTCGTAGGTGGTAGTCACTGGCCTCAGGCCAGGCTGCACAGCCACGGCAGGAGTCTGCATGACCGCTGTCTTTTATGCGGCGCTCGAGGGACCTTGTATCACAGGTTCTATGAGTGCCCCTGTCTGCAGCACATTCGTCGTGAGGAGTGCCCTGAATTCCTCGCACAGGCGGCGAAGCGTGTGCATGCGAAGAACGAAGTGCACGGGGAGTTGTTCTGCCGCTGCCTCTTCCCTTCCCCGCGCTGGGCCTTCCCCCGAGTTGAGCCCGAGGTGAAGGTTTGGTGGCACGGTGTCCCAGCCGGGTGGAAGTTCTCAGGCTCGGTCTTCGTTGATGGCAGCGCGTTTCACATCACCCTGTCAGGTATCAGTCGCGCTGGGTTCTCGATCGTCCAGACAGATGCTGCCTCGAATGTAGTTGGTGCCTGTTATGGCATTGTGCCGTTGCATCTCGCCCCACTTCAACTGTCTCGAGATGGCGAGGACATGGCTTTCATGGTCCTGGCAGCCAATTGTGAATGGATTCCGGAGAATCCTCTCTGTGTGTATTGTGATTGCGCCGCCACCCTCGGATGTGCGAGAGATCCCGGGGTGGCGTTGGCGGCGCTCAACCCTCGGCAGCACTTTTGGCACGGCTGGTGGAGCGGTGTTGGTTCCCAGGCGCAGGTGTTCAAGGTGAAGGCTCACGTCGGGCTCCAAAATGCGAGGTCTGAACATGAGGAGTGGATGATCCGCGGCAACAGGCACGCGGATCACTTCGCCAAATTGGGCGCCCGCTTGTGGAACACGCCCCCCCAGCAGGTGCATTTTGTGCAAGGCTGTGAGCGCCTCGCGACTGAGGCGATCCGGTGGCATGCGAGGGCCCAGCAGGTGTTCGGTGATTCCGGGTTTTCTGACTCTGAGGGGATTGCTGGGACCTCGGACGTGCAGCTGGAGGAAGTTCCTGAAGTCTGGGCCCTTCTGGAGGAGGCTTGTGCTGAGGAGGGGTGTCGCCCTTACGAGAGGGTCCAGGGTGTGACCCTTAGTGGGGGAGCTGCTGGTGCTGTTCCTCCTCCCCCTCCTCCCCCTCCTCCCCCTCCTCCCCCTCCTCCGGAGGGCGAGGATTTAGTTTCTTCTTCTGGGCTCCCCTGGCAGTTCAACGGCCACAGCGTTGTGGCGGCAGACCTTGTCAGCATCGAGGGCGGCTATTCTGTTCAGGACGGGGACTTTGTGCTGTTTTGCAAGCAGTGTGGAGCCTCGGCCTTTAGGCAGGTCCGTCGTGGGGAGGGTCTTGACTCCTCTTGCCTTGGCTCTCGCTCTCCTGGGCTCAGGACTCAAAGGTCCAGGCTTCGGAGAGGTCTCTTTCCTGGTCACGTCCAGGCCAGGATCTCCGCGGCGGCAGGCCCGTCGGCGCGGCAGGTAGAGGCTTGGGCCTCCAGGCTGCCGACGCTGCAGGGCTGCGCTGCTGCCGTCTCGGACGGCAGCAAGGCCGGGCTGGGGGAGCGTGCCGATCCGTCGTCGTCGTCGGCGTCGTCGTCGTCGGTCTATGGATTATCGCTCCCTCGGCTGATCGATTTTGAAGTTGCGACCCTCCACGGTTTCCAGGACCCCTCTGATGTGTGCGGTGGGCCAGGGAGTTGGAAACTCGGGAGCGGTCCGAAGTTTTCGAGCTTTCAGAGGAATCTGATTGAGCTCCTTTCGCGGCCGTAGCGCCGAGCGTTCGGGTCCCGACCCGTTCGATTTAGTCAGCACCCTCAGCACCCTCCCAGCCTCATCCTCCTCCTCCTCTTCCTGGCCTCCTCCCAGCCTCCTCCCATCCTCCTCCTCCTCCTCCTCCTCCTCCTCCTCCTCCTCCTCCTCCTCCTAGGCTCCTCCTCCTCCTCCTCCTCCTCCTCCTCCTCCTCCCCCGAAGATCGGGCTCCAAATCGCGCCGACTCGCCGATGCTTCGGCCATGCCGCGCGTCCCGGGGACCCCGTGACGTTGGCCCCACCAGGCCGCCCTATCTCGCGCTCCGCGCTACGCGACAGGGCGCGGGGAGCGCGCTCTCCGCCAGCGCGCCCCAAATCGCCGCTCCTGTGGGAGGGCCACCTCTCCGGCCCGGGGCCACGACGCGCGTACCGTGATAAGGTTGCGCGATCAGGGTAGGATGAAGCGGTCCCACTGGCCCAAGGGAAGAAGATGACAAGAAAATCTGGGGGGCCGGCGGAACTGGGTCGGGACTCTCGAGATGACCTCAACACCGTCAAGGCGACCTCAGTACAGTCGAGGCGCAGAGTGAGGATGCACGATAAGGATGCAGGGGGCCTTTGGGAGGCCGTGTCGACAGTTCTCGGGCGGGGCGCGGCCAGCGAAACAAGCCAAGGACGGGCCGCCCCCAGAGGAGGACTGCCTCTCCCCGCGCCGCGAGGCGCGGGCTGCAGCCGACGCGTGTGGCTCAGACGTCCATTCCCCGTGCATGTTTCTGTTTTGCGTGTGCTTGCTTTCGCAAGACGGCCGAAGACGCTCCCCGGTGGTCCTCGCCGAACAAACATGCACACGGCCGAGCGATGGCAAGAGAAGGATGCACGATAAGGATGCAGTGGGCCTTTGGAAGACTACGCCGACACTGTCTGGGCGGGGCGCGGCCGGCGACAGTGGCCAAGGATGGCCCGAAGAGGCAAGGATGCCAGGGTGTCCCTGGGAATCTCACTCAACCGTGCCATGCTCGTTGACCGTATCCTGGCGCCCATGCGAGAATAACCACACTGACCCAAATCTGCACTCATGAAAGACGAAACTGCATACGTAAACTGAACCTTTCTTGGACCCGTGCGGGAACCCCCTCCCTGGCGCGGGCAGCACGCCGAAGGCGGCCCGTTCGGGACCATCTGGGCACCCCCCAAAGCGCTCTCGGCGAGGCGCAGCCGGGTGGGTCCATGCGCCCCAAATGTTCGAGATGCGTCTGAACCGCGGCAACGAGGAGGGCCCACGAAGGCCAACACTCTGCATCTCTGTGCCGTTGAATTCGGGAGGCCCCGGCTGCCAGCCCAGGAGAGCCCAGAATCGACTCAACAAGTCGGATCGGCGATCGAGATGAACCGGATCGGCCGAAATCGGCAGCCGAGTCGGGAGAAGTCGAATGTGAAATCGGCAAGCCAATACGCCTCCAGCAAAGAATCGGAATCCAAATCGGAATCCGAAGCCGAATCGAAACGGAATCGGACGCCATCGAAGTCGAATCGAATCGGAATCGGAGGAATCGAGTCGGAGGAATCGGAGGAATCGAAGCGAGTCCTGCCAGCCTGGCCCCCCCCGCGCTCTCCGAGCCCGGCCCGCCTGGCCGCCGCCGCCGCCACGACCGCCGCGGCGGCCACCGCCGTGGCGCCCGTGGGCCCTCCACCTGGGAGAGGACTCGCACGCTCGAGTGTAGAGAGCAGACGATCCACCCTCATAATCGGCGGTGGACAAACCTCCCTTTAGTAAACCTCACCTTAGCGAAAACGGCCTAAGACCGAAACCGACGGACCTGTACCCGTAAAAATGACGTCCGCGACGCCCTCTCGCGAACCGAAAACGGCCAATTCCTTAATCGACGTGTCAGGGTTGGAGGTCTATCAACCTCGGACATAATACAGTCGGGGATGGTTGGAGGGGACGCGCGAGAGGACACACGGCCTTCCGAGGGCCATATTCCCACAGGGATGTAAAAAGGCATGGGTCGCGAAGCTCAGGACACAAGGGTACCCTCGATTTGGCATGGTCGACCTGCTAATCAGCCTCGACTGTCATCATCCCGACACGCGAAACCGTTTAGTAAACGCACCCGAAGAAGGAACCGAACAGGGCAAAGCTGTTTCGTGAACGTCCAGGGCCGTTTAATGAACGCGAATGAACGGGTCTGGGTGGTTTTTCCTCCCTTGAGAGCGGGGTGGCACTTGCAGGTTCTGGCGATAGAACAAGTGTTCCTTCGAAGGCGGGGGTAACGGCCGTGAGAACGAATCTGGTTTCTGTGACACCGAGCGCGCGCAGAAACAACTGTACGAAATCACGAGCCACGCACTCCTACGCTTCAGAAGTGCGAATGTATCGAACGGAAGCGACACAACGTATTGCAAGAAAACATATCAGCCAGCGTAGGACTCCAAATGGATAGGAGGACAGGAGGAAGACGAGAGGAGGATAGGAGGATGACGAAAGGAAGACGGGAGCTGGACGGGAGGAGCAAACTCAAGGAAGCGCAAGCAAGCAAGCGCAAGCGAGTACTAACAAGCAAGCAAGAGCCAGCGATCAAGTGCAAGCAAGCAAGGGCAAGCAAGAGCAAGCAAGCGAAAGCAAACACGCAAGAGCAAGCAAGCAAACGCCATTGGAAAAATGGGGGCGCCATTGGGAAAAAGGAGGGGGTGCTAAAGACAAACTACTTATGATGATCTAGGATTCCTATAAAGCAAGCCTATTGGGATAATTAACCACGCTTTCCTACAATCGCATAATTCAGGAATCGACTGACCCAGGTCGATACAAACACTGGTCAGTCATGCGTTGCAGAATCCTGCAACATCTCGCACGAACCAACCTGCAGGATCCTGCGCCCCGACCTGGGTCAATGCACCGGTGGCTCCGCAGGATCCTGCCGGATCCGGCAAACGGGCTGGCCCCGTGCGCATCGACGCCCGTCTCAAAGATCCCGACTTCTCGAAGTCATTCAAAAGCCGTGTGTGCCTCCTTTCCCCGTCAGCCCGGCATGCCCAGACTCGCCCTGCCCAGAGGCCGGGCAGGCCAGACATCAGGCGGCCCCGAAAGGCCCCAAGACGGCCTCCGAGGGGGCCAGACGGCGCGCGAGCGCCCAACGACGGCACAAGATGCCCCATGCAGGCCCCAAGAGGCCCTCAGGAGGCCCCCGCAAGGCCCCCAGGGGCACCAAGGCGCTACCAAAAGGCCCCCAAGAAGCCCCTTTGCCCCGAAAAAACCACCGAGAGGCCCGCGGAGTTGCATGCGAATGGCGCGTCGTTGCTGCGCTCATCGGAATTTGAACTTGGCATTGCCTTGTGCTGACACGCGGTGCATGCTCGTTGCCCTCGCGGGAATTCGCGCGCTCGTCTCGGCGCTGAAACGGCGGCGCGGCGCGCCCGCCCCCCGCGGCGCCGCCGGCGGCCCGGGGCGGGCAGAACGACGCGGCAGAACTGCGCGGCAGACGAGCAAGGCAAACCGCCCGTCGCCCAGCCGCTGCGCCCTCCGGACGTGCACCCCGCGAAGCGAGAAGAATTATCGCGGCCTCGAGCGCGGCCACCTGCCACCGGCGGCCCTGGACAAGCGAACGAGAGGAGAGACAGGACAGGACATCCGCACGAGGGGGTCAACGTCAACGCGCCCGCGAAGACGCAGCGCAGAGAACATGCGTAATTCCCCTCGCGAGTGCTACGCAGCAAGGACTCGACGGCCCTTCGACGCCTTACCGAGGGAACTGCTGAGGCCCGCGCAGAGGCGCGCGCGCTGCCCCCCCCGCGCCCTCGCCCCCCCTCCTCCCCCGCCGCGGGCGAGCGCGCGGCCCGTTCGCAGGGGGCCCTGCATAACCAGTAGCTCTCCGACGCAACCAAGGGGCGCGTCGCCGCCGGCACCGCGCTGCCAGTGGCGCGCGCAAGCGGGCCCGCGCAAGAATGGGGGTTCCCTGAGCCCTCCTTTAATACGCGAGCCACATTCGTCTCTGCGCCCCACGGATGAGAGGGCCGAGGACGAGAGGGGGGCACCGCGCACTCCGAAATGCCCTCGCTGGTGCGATCGGCGCCCCCTGCGCCCAGACAGATGCTTTCCCCCGCGCCGAGCGCGCTCGGAAATGCATGACCCCTCCTCGTTTACTTCACCTCGCGCCGGCTCGCCCGTCACTTCGCCCCATCGTCGCCTGCGCGGCCGCGCTCAATAACTCGGAAAATCTGGGAAAACATGCGCGACTTCTCCGTCCAAGGAAGACAAAATGCGCCTTGCATTTGTCTCCAACTTAAGTGCGCAAATTAGCCCGCGCTGCAACCTTCGCGCGGCAGCAATTGCGCGTTCGCCCCCCGCCCGGGCAAAAAAGACGCATTCCACTCCTGGCAGGACGCGGGGCGCACTGCTGTTTGCCAAGTGGCGCCGCAATGCATCCGCAGAAAAAAATGACCAGAATTGTCCCATATGGCGTCGCAGACGCCGCCCAACGTTCGCCCGCCGCTCTTCCGCGCCCGCTCTTCGATGACAGCCCCTTCGACAGCTGCGTCTTCAACCGCTCGGAGGTCAGAGGGGGCCCCCGCGGGAAAATTGCGCCGCCCCCTCTGCCTCAGTTTCCGACCCCTTCTCCACCCCTCCCCGCACCTGCACAACCCCTTTGTGAAATAGAAGCTCTGGGACTTCAAAAACTCTCCAACGGGCGCACCTTCCTTCCGCGCGCATTGTTTGCAAGGCGCCCTCAGCGATTCCTTCGCGGGTCGCTTTGAAACTGAAGAACCCCAGAAGCGCTGCGATCTCAGGGTCGTCATTGAGGAGCATAGGTTTTCGACGTTCGTCATCGGCGCCAGTCGGTGGCTCTTGAACCTCGGGGCCTCCATCTTCCCAGACACCCAGCGCTCTCCGACGAACGAACGAGTCGATCTCCTGGGGCAACATTTCCGAATGATTGGGGTCGGCCTCCGTCTGTCCAGACTCCCTTCTCGTCCGTCTCGCCGCGGGGGCCCAAGGGTTTTCGAGGTTCGTCCAACATCATCCCCCGGCTAACAGACGAGCGCAAAGCAGGGCCGATCGAATTCCATTGGTTCAGTCATGGTTCGATATCCTGGCACAGCGTTCCCACATAATTTGCTTCGGGCATGGATTTTCGAAATTCTCCATCGGCACAAACTGGCTGCTCCCGAACCTCGGCGCCTCCAACTTCCCTCGGACTTTTGTCGTCCATGGTGGTTCGCTGGCGTACAAACAAATGCGAAACAGGGCCAATCGAATCCCATATGCGCAGTTGGCCTTCTATCTCGTGGAACAGCTGCGTCAAACGATTGGACTCGCTAGTAGGTGCAGGCTGCTCCTGGGCCCGAGCGGGCGCGGGCGCTGAGGGGAGCCGAGGCGGCCCTGCAAACTCCCCTGGCAGCTGTTCTCCACGGGCCCCGCGGGACGCAGGGGAAACGGGGAGCCGAACAAGCTGTGCAAACTCCCCCGCTGCCGTCTGCCCGCCCCTCTCGCCGTCGCTGTTGTCCACCTCGGTGTCGGCGCCCATCTGCGCACCTTGTGGCGGCGGTTCCTGCGTTCTCTTTCTGTCTGCCGAAGCTGCCCAACAAGCAGACCAACTGCTCACAATTTGTAATCCTGGCAAGCTGGCATTTCCATGCGTTGGTGCGGCGGATCCGTTTTCTGCGTCTTTGGCTCGTCGTTTTTTTCAAGGTCATACTCAAATATTCCATCGACAATTGGAACGATGCAGCACAACAAATGTCCATCATCCGGTCACGACCCTAGAGAGGATCGCAAAGAGGTACGGTATAGGGCTGTAGGGATTGTTATGTTTTGTTGTTCCTCCTTCTCCTCCCCTGACCCCGGCAAAACAACCGGTGTGGCTGTCAGAATCCGTAAATGGTGTGAGGCGTGAGTGAAAAGCTTCCCTCCGTCGGGGCTCAATTTGTTTGAGCTCCAACGCCGACTGAACGAGAGGAGAGGCCCGACGAGCAGCTCGGAAGACCCATGAAAACCAACAGGACCCAAGGAAAGCCAAGGACTGGGGGAGGAAGACGACGTCCATGCTTCTAGTAGGGGCAAGGACGTCCTGGTCCTCCACATCGAAATCTTGATCGAATCGTTGCTGGACGCTTCCCGAATCGGATCGTCAACTGCGGCGATTCGATCCGAACCAGATCGAGCTGGATCGGATCGTGCGCGGCGCTGTCCTTCCCCCCAAGAGAAAGGAGGATACGGGGGGCCACGATAACCGCTCAAGGTAATACGCTCTCCGAGACCCGACGCCGTGAAAAGTCACCGCCAACCCCCCCGCGTCGAAACTGGCCAAGGATTGACCGAGGAGGCAAGGATGCCAGAATGCCACCGCGAGAGTACCGCGTCCTTGCTACAGATTTTGACAGCAGGGCTCCCTGCCGTGACGTTTCTAAGCCACCGGACTTCGCGCACCGCGCGATGATCCTCGCGCCCTCGCGTCGCCTATCCTGGAGAAGCGCGCCTCTCCGATGCCTTCGCGACCGCCGCGGCGTCTTCCCACGGAGCGCCCACATCTCGCTGGGAGTCGGCTACACGCAAGAGTGACCCTGGGTAAGAGTGACCTTTGGTGCGCGGCTTTTTGGGGTCCGCGGGGGGACCACAACTGGGCGCGCAAGCCGCTGCTCCTGCTTCGTGTTCAGCCATCTGGGGGCCCATCTGTGCCCGCACCAAAGGTCACTCCGGCGAAAGGTCACTCTTACGTCTAATCGAGGGAGGCAAGCCGCCCTCCCCCCCGGTCCCGCCGGCAATGGAGGCGCAGGTGGTGCAGAGGTCGTAGCCGCACTTATGGCAGCTGGCGGCCAGGGGCGGCAGCGCGGGGGGGGGGTCCTCCCCCCCGGTCGCGCCTCCTCCCCATGCATCGTTCCTCCTCACTCCCTCCTCCAACTCCTCCTCCTCCTCCTCCTCCTCCTCCTCCTCCTCCTCCTCCTCCTCCTCCTCCTTGCAACGCCCTAGCAGTCAGCCCCTTCATGGACGAGTCGGTCATCGTTGCAGTCAACAAGGCAAGGGAGCAGAGCACAGAAGGGCCCAAGGAAGTGATCAAGCCGCCACCGATCTCGATGCAGCAGTTTCGCCAGGCAGTCCATCAGGCCGTCATCCACGTGGGAGGCAAAACAGTCTAGGGATCAGCGCCGCCGAGCAGCTTGGAGAGGGCCCTCCAGAACCAGCTGCGCGCGCGTCAGATGTGAGATGCGCTGCCGTGAACGTCGAAGGCCTGCGCAGACAGGCCGAGAAGGGAAGCACGCGAGCACGAGACATTCTGGTGAGAATGGGCTATCAATTACTTGTTTTGCGACAGCCATCTCGAGTTCTCCAGCTCTATACCACAGCTCCACACATATGTTCCTTCAAATGGAGATGTCTTGTGGGGCGGTGATCATTTCAGAGTACGTCAACGCAGATAATGTTTGGATGGAGTCTCTTTCATATTATTTCAGAGTGCTGAGATGGATGGAGTCTCTAGCACCTTATTTCAGATCTGAGACAGATGGAGTCTTACTCACAACATCGACCAGCCACCAATGCTGGATGAACTCACTACAGCCTCGACTTCTAAACCGAGGATTCGGTGTCTTCATGAGAATGTGAGTGCGGCGATTGATGCACAGTGCAATATGGCATATCGTTCTAGCGTTCTCAATGCATGCACGCTGTATTATCTACAGCACAGTAAGCACCTAAGGCCGACGAGGGGCCCAAGGCTTTCTCGGACCCACGGGCTCCCTCAGGCGCCCTACTGCTGCGCCCACAGACAGAACCGGCAGCAATACAGGACGCAGACAGGCGCCCATCTTCCCAGGCCCGTGCTTCTTGCGCTGACGCCGAGCTGCTGCCGAGGTCGCTCGCTCGCTCGCTCGCTCGCTCGTCCTCCTCCTCCTCCTCCTCCTCCTTATACTGCTCCTCCTGCTTCTCCTCCTCCTGCTCCTGCTCCTGCTCCTGCTTCTGTTCCTGTTCCTGCTCATGCTTTTGCTCCTGCTCCTGCTTATGTTCCTGTTCCTGCTTTTGCTATTGCTCCTGCTCCTGCTCCTTCTCCTGCCCCTGCCCCTGCTCCTGCTCCTGCTCCTGCTCCTGCTCCTGCTCCTCCTCCTCCTCGTGTTCCTCGTGTTCGTCCTCCTCGTCTTCCTCCTCCTCCGCCTCCTCCTCCTCCGCCTCCTCCTCCTCCTCCTCTTCCTCCTCTCCCTCCCCTCCTCCTCCTCCCTCTGTTCCTCCTCCTCCTCCTCCGCTTCCTCCTTTTCCTTCCCTCCTCCTCCTCCTCCTCCTCCTCCTCATCTCCTCCTCCTCCTCCTCCTCCTCCTCTCCTCTCCTCCTCTCCTCCTCCTCCTCCTCATCCTCCTCCTCCTTCTCCCCATCTTTCTTCCTCTCCATCGTTCCTCCTCCTCCTCCTCCTGCTCTCCTCCTCCTCTCCTCCTCCTCCTCCTCCTCTCTCTCCTCCTGCTTTCCTGCTCCTCCTGCTCCTCCTGCTCCTCCTGCTCCTTCTGCTCTTCCTGTTCCTCCTGCTTCTCCTCCTCCTCCTCCTCCGCCTCCTCCTCCTCCTCATCCTCGTCGTCTTCCTCCTCCTCCTCCTCCTCTTCCTCCTCCCTCCTCGCCGCCTCCCGTCCGTCCCTCCTCCTCCTCCTCCTCCTCCTCCTCCTCCTCCTCCTCCTCCTCATTCGCCTCCTCTTCCTCATGGATACCTTCTCCCTGTCGCACCCCGCGGCAAGTGTTTACGGCGGGCCGGGCGTTTCGCCACAGACTTGCTCACCATGTATGACTCTGAAGCTTAAACAGCGGCAACAGCTTCACAGATGGAGGACGGGTCGTTTTCAATATGTGGCGCTCGCCCCAGCGCGGCGCACATTCTGTTCAAATATTTGAGAGAGCGTGATCCACCGCCGCTTTACTGTGGAAAATTGCCAACCTTTTCCTCCGGAACCCGGGGGTCGCCCCCCCCCCCCCTCCGAAAATCCCCCCCCCCCTGCTGGAACCCCTCCCCCCCCCCCTCTCCCCCGGCAAAACCCCCCCCCTCCCCTAACCCCTCCCCCCCCCCTCCCGCTCGAAAACCGGGGGGGGTCACTACCGGTTCGAACCCCTCCCCCCCCCCCCTCTGGCCGGAAAACCTGGGGGGGTCACTACCGGTTCGAACCCCTCCCCCCCCCCCTCCGGATCCGGAAAACCGGAGGGGGTCACTACCGGTTCGAACCCCTCCCCCCCCCCCCCTTACCCTCGGATCCGGAAAACCGGAGGGGGTCACTACCGGTTCGAACCCCCCCCCCCTCCCCCCCCTACTCACCGCCAGCAAACGACTCCCGGTCCCCACCACCGTCCGCATCACATCCCCCACTGGTGTTCCCAGCACCACTGTCCTCACCACCGCTGTCCCCACTGGTTCCACCACCGCCCCTACTGTCCCCACCAGTGGCCCCACCACTGTCGCACTGTCCCCGCTGTCCCCAGAACTGTTCCCACCACGGTTCCACTCTCCCCACTGTCTCCACGGCCCCAACCACTGCCCGACTATCCCCACTGTCCCCACTGTCCCACTGACTCCTCCGCTGTCCCACTGAGCTGTCCCACTGTTCCCACCACTGTCCCCACTGTCCCCACCACTGTCCCCACTGTACCTCTGTCCCATTGTCCCACCGCCGTCCTCGCCACCGCCTTCACCACTGTCCCCACCACCATTGTACCCTCCACTGTCCCACTCCACCTCATTCCCATTGTCCCCACGCCACTGTCCCCACCACCACCGTCACCACCACTGTCCACTGTCCCCCCCTGTTCCCACCATTGTCCCCACCACTGTCCCCACCACTACCGTCCCCACCACTGTCCCACTGTCCCACTGTCCCCACCACTGTCCCGCTATCCCCTCACCACTGTCCCCACCAACACCGTCCCCACCACTGTCCGCACCCCCACTCGGTTTTCGAGGGGGGGGGGGGGTTCGAACCGGTAGTGACCCCCCCCGGTTTTCGAGAGGGGGGGGGGGGGAGGGTTCGAACCGGTAGTGACCCCCCCCCCTTTTCATGAGCTGGGGGGGGGGGGGAGGGGTTCGAACCGGTAGTGACCCCCCCAATTTTCCGGAGGGGGGGGGGGGGAGGGGTTCGAACCGGTAGTGACCCCCCCCGGTTTTCCGCCAGCAGCGGTAGAACACGCTCTTTCAAATATTTGCAAGAGCGCCACGGATTGAAGGTGTGTGACATTCCAACATGTGGCTCTCGCTTTAGCGCGGCGCGTATATATTTTGAACATGTACAAGAGCCTCACGGATTGAAGGCGTGTGACATTTCAACATGTGGCTCTCGCCTTAGCGCGGCGCACACTCGTTTAAAACATTTGCAAGGGTTTCACGGATTGAGGGCGGGTCGTTTTCAAACTGTGGCTCTAGCCTTAGCGCGGTGCACGTTCCTTTTTTTCAACAATTGCAAGAGCGTCACGGATCGAGGGCGGTTCCTTTGAAAATGGCTCTCGCCTCAACGCCGTGTGCATTCGTTTACACCATGTTCAAACATGTCACGGGTTCCCATCCATCAGCAACGTACCAGGAATGGTGTTCTGGAGAGGTTTAAGATTCTGCGGGTGCAACCGTCACGTTGATTCTCTGTGTTGAAGTCCTAAGAACGGCGTTCTGGCGCGGTTCGGGACCGTCAACGACACAACAGTCAGGTTGATCCGTGGCGACGGAATCCCGAGAAGAATGTGTTGGCAAACTTCAAGGTCCTCAAACGGGTGTCTTCCAACGAGGCAGCTCCCTCAATGGAAGTGAACCGTTGTAGGGGCCTGTGAACAGGGAGCTTGGAGGGAAGGTGTATTCAAACATCATTGATGGCTCTTGGGTTTCCACTGGTCCTCCTCCTCCTCCTCCTGTTCCTCCTCCTGTTCCTCCTCCTCCTCTTCTGCTACTCCTCTGCTCCTCCCTCCTCCTCACCGTTCCTCCTCCTGCTCCCATGCTCATCTGCTCGTCCTGCTCCCCCTGCTCCTCCTGCTCCTCCTGCTGCTCCTCCTCCTCCTCCTGTCTCCTCTCTCTTCTCTCCTCTCTCATCTCTCCCGTCTCCTATATCATACCTCCTGGCTCCTGTCTCATATCTCCTACAGCATGAATATCCTATATCCCAAATATCCTAAATTTCCGAACTATCAAAAATATCTGACCTATCCTATATCATATCTCCTCCTCCTCCTCCTCCTCCTCCTCTTCCTCCTCCTCCCCCATCCTCCTCCTCCTCCTCCTCCTCCTCCTCCTCCTCCTCCTCCTCCCCCTCCTCCGCCTCCTCCTCTTCCTCGTCCTCCTCCTCCTCTTCTTCCTCCTCTCCTTCCTCCCCCTCCTCCTCCTCCTCCTCCTCCTTCTCCCTCCTCCCTCCGCCCTCCTCCTTCCTCCCTCCTATATTTCCTGTCTTTCATATCCCCTAAGTCTCCGACATTTCATATATCCTATATCCTATCTCCTCCTCGGCCTCCTCCTCTTCCTCCACCTCCTCCTCCCCTCCTTTTCCTCCTCTTCCTCATTCTCCTCCTCCTCCTCTTCCTCCTCTTCCTCCTCCTCCTCTACCTCCTCCTCTTCCTCCTCCTCCCCGTCCTCCCTCCTCCTCCTCCTCCTCCCCATCTCCTCCTCCTCCTCCTCCTCCTCCTCCTCCTCTTCCCCCCTCCACCTCCCCCTCCCCCCCTCCCCCCTCCTCCTCCACCCCCCCTTCCTCCTCCGCCTCTTCTCCCTCTCCCCTCCTCCTCCTCCTCCTCCTCCTCCTCCTCCCTCCTCCTCCTCCCTCTCTCCTCATCCTCCTCCCCTCCTCCCTCCTCCTCCTCCTCCTCTCCCCTCCC